TTGAGAAAGCTTTGAAGAATACCAGAAGCTAGGGTAGAGGCAGAACAGATTGTTCCTCACAGCACTCAGGAAGAACCAGCTCTGCTCACTCCTGTCTTTAAACTTCCATCATCCAGAACCATAAGAAAAAAAGGTTCTGAGAAAAAAAAAAAAAAAAGGTTCTGTTGATTAAACTCCCACACCCTATCCCCCTAGTTTGTGGTGTTTTGTTATAGAAGCCCCGGGGTGTGTGTGTGTGGGGGGGAGTGAGACAATTCACTTATGAGATCATTTTGGGTGTGTGAAGCATAGACAAATTATAACATTTATTCCATTGTATCTTCCAAGCTTCTGAGTGGAGATCAATAGAAAAAGACATCACAGGCATGCATCTCTCAATTGCTGGCCTCAATTCCTAGTCAAGCTAGGAATTCTGCTTAACCTAGAAGTTCTTTTGTTTTACTAAGTGTTAAAATATCATTTTATCTATGGGGAATATACACATGTGAATGCAGGTAGTATAAGAAGATTGATTTAAAATCAGATGAGGGTAAAAATGATGGCTTTAATGGCCAATTCCATCAAGGGTATGAGTAGTTTTCTTTTTGTACTAGTATTAATGAAGACATTACAGTTTAAGGTAACATAAAGAGAAATTAAACATGTTTAATTCTATTTAATTGTATATTCACTATTATGTTTAATTCTGAATCATATTTAGAACTAGCATTTGTCTCAGAAGAGGAATTAATTTATTGTTTTCTGTTTTTCTCTATGACCTGGTGGACTTTTTAAAAAAATTTTAATTAGTTACACACAACAGTACAATGACCTTGACATATCATACATTTGAATCAGATGGGATATAATTTCTCATTTCTATCCAGCTTCTGAAATAATATGACCACACTTTGGGTAGACCTGAGTAACAATCACAATGCAAAATATACGAAGATATATAAACCTAAGGGTAGAAATGTCTGAAAACTTATCATAGGTAAGGATGAAAGTGAAAGAAACTTTCTGTTTTTATCTTCATTTAAACCTTACTATATTAGTCAGTGTTYCTAAACCACTGAAAATACTGTGATAATGCACAGAGTTAGTCATGGTTTCATTATACTTTCCTCCACTCTCCGATATCCATGGTCAAGATCCTATGTCATGCTGGGCATGGAGGCACACACTTGTAATTTCAACAACTCGGGAGACTGAGGCTGGAGGATCACAAGTTTCAAAGCCAACCTCAGCAACTTAGCAAGGCCCCAAGCAACTTATTGAGAAGCTGACTCAAAATTTAAAAATTAAAAAAAAAAGGGATGGGTAGGGAGTGGCTCAGTGGTTAAGTGTCCCTGGGTTCAATCTCTGGTACTAAACAAACAAACAAACAAACAAATCCCTTGTCACTTCCTTTATGAGAACTTTCCTTTCCTTCCCTGCTATGGGCTTTCAGAATATCCTCTTTTGCTCCCTCTTCTGATAGTGACTATGGTTATGTCCAAGCATCATCAACCATTAGATTCTGAGCTCCTAAGGATGGTAAAAATGCTACATTCACCTTTGCATCTCCATTGCTGAGAATAGGGTCCTGCCAGAGGGATTATTTAAAAAGTGTACATTTCCCCAAAGAAAACAATTAGGAATCTATAGAATGCAAGAAGAATGCAGGACCTACAGAATGCAAGAAACTCTTTGCTAGCTACTCTTTTTGACAGGGGATTAATATCCAGAATATATAAAGAACTTAAAAAGCTTTATATCAAAAACCAAAATAACTCAATTAAGAAATGGGCAAATGAATTAAACAGACAACTCTCAAATGAAAAAAACACAAATGGGCAACAAATTTATAAAAAAAAGTTCAACATCTTAAGCAATTAAGGAAACGCAAGTCAAAACTACACTGAAATTTTATCTCACATCAGTCACAACAGCAGTCATCAAGAATACAAATAATAATAAATTCTGGAGAGGATATGGAGAAAAAGGAACACTTTTACACTACTGGTGGGACTGTGAATTAATTCAACCACTGTGGAAATCAGTATGGAAGTTCCTCAAAACACTAGGCATGGAACCACCATATGACCCTGCATGAGCTCTGTCTAGTCCATCGAGGAGGTCCATGGAACAAGGTAGAAGAGAGTATGG